CAAAGAGCGTTGCTGGTGTCTCCTGTTAAGGGAAATCTGTACCCTCCTTACCACACTCCCCAAACTCTCAGCCTCGGTCCTTCCCACCTGCCACAGCTTTTCTGCCTTATAGGCACAGAAGCATGTAAAAATGCAGCAATCATCCCCCCCACCCCCGCCCGACACACACAGGCACAGAATGCACAGCTTAACTTTCTAAGTTTCCTAAAACACACCGAAGGAACGCTCAACTTGGAGCAGGCCTCTGCCCCCAGACGAATCCGCCACACGCCTCCCTCTTCTGCTGAGGCCGCTTCCCTCGGGCACACACGCTGGGCGCTCACACATCTTCCCGGGCCCAACCCCGGCCCGGTCCGGGGCTGCACCGTCCCACCCAGCCCGCGGGCCAGTGCTCCGGGCCGCAGGCGCCCACTTACCCCAGGGTGGTCATGGTGACGATGGTGTACCAGAAGGAGGCGGGGATGCTCGTGAACTTGCTGGCGGAGGAGCCCTTCTCCGCGTAGAACATCACCGTGGCGAAGATGATGATGGCCATGGTGAGGGAGAAGAGCAGAAAGCCGAGCTCCGAGGCGCAGCTCTTGAGCGTGTAGCCCAGGATCCGCAGGCCCTGCGAGTGCCTGGAGAACTTGAAGATGCGGAAGACGCGGAAGACCCGCAGCGTGACGAAGGCGCCCGACACGTCCTCGTTGTCGGTCATGACCAGGCCGATGTAGTAAGGCATGATGGCCACCACGTCGATGATGCTCATGACGCTGCGGACGAAGCGGTAGCGGCTGGGCGCGGCGAAGAGGCGCAGCAGGTACTCCACGGTGAAGATCATGACGCACGCCGTGTCCAGGCAGAAGAAAGCCACCGAGTAGCGCTCGCCGCAGGGCAGCTCCTTGCTCCCGGGCACCGTGCCGCAGGGCACCGTCTCCACCACGTTGGTGATGACCGAGACGGCGATGAAGAAGCCGGTCACGTAGTAGAAGACCAGGGCCATGGTGCTGGTGTGCGGGTTCTCGAAGGCGCGCCACATGGTCTGGCGGAAGCTGAGCGAGGGCATGGACTCCTGATTGTTCTCAGAGTCGTTGTCGTCCATGAGGCGCTCGGCGTTCTCCCGCTTGCGGTCCTTGTACTCCTCGTAGCAGCAGTCGCCGATGATCTCGGGGAGGATGCCGTAGAAGGCCAGCTCGTCGTCGTAGGCCGAGATGCACTCGTAGCGCGGGTAGTGCAGCTTCCCGGTGCGGTAGAAGTTGAGCACGCAGCGGAACACCTCGGGGTCCCGGTCGAAGAAGTACTCCTTGGTGTCCTCGTTGAAGAAGAACTCCTTCTCTGTGCTGCCCAGCAGCGTGTCCGGGTAGCGCTCCAGGGTGGTCCGCCAGGTCTCGAACCTGCGCCCGCTCACGTTGAGCACGATCAGCTCGTCCTGCCGCTTGCTCTTGTCAGCCGGCGCCAGGGGCATGGGGCAGTTGGCCACTGGCATCCACCCGATGGCCGCGGCCCGCGCAAAAGGCAGCCAGGCTGCCACTCCCGCCGCCATGGTGACTCCAGCTCCTGGGCCGGCCACTGCGCAGAGGCTGTGCACACCAGCTTGGACTCAGGTCGGCGACCCCTGGGAGACAGGAGGAGAGAGCAGAGAGCCGTGTGAGTCCGGATGGACATCCAGGTGGGAGTGGGACACGGGGAAGGGTCACCCACCGGTGGGGCAAACAGCAACCGTCTTGGAGGCAGATTGATTAAACTGAAACGACCACCCAAGAGAGAAGATTCGTTTCTTTTATTTTTAAAAAAATATATTTTAAAAATATGTTTTTATTGATTTCAGAGAGAGGAACAGAGAGGGAGAGAGGGAAACATCAATGACGGGAGTCACTGACCGGCTGCCTCCTGCACGCCCCCTGCTGGGGATGGAGCCCACAACATGGGCATGAGCCCTGCCGGGAATCCAACCGTGACCTCCCGGTTCATAGGTCCAGGCCCAACCTCTGAGCCACGCAGGCTGGGCAGGGCTTGGTTCTTCTGTTTCCTCCCCTGTAGAGAGGGCACCTAATGCTGGCAGTGCAGCCGTGTGGGATCGCCAGATGTTGTTGACTGCCTGACAAATTGTCAAGTTCCAGGAGGGCCCAGGAGCATGTGGAGGGAAAGCCTCTTTAGCAGGAAGATCTGGGAAGGCACGGGAAATAATCAGCTCTGTGAAAGGTTATGGCGTTATTGCGAATTTAAATTGGGAGAGGGTAAATGAGTTCTCATTAAACGAATTTCAAAGTGGGATAAACATGCTAATTTTTATTTCTCTCTTCACCCACCAGGGTAATCAGGAGTGGGGTGTGGATGAAGGCGATCAGGTAAACACATTCTTTCTACTCCTCGCTGGTGAGGTGGAGGCTAGGGCTCCCCAGGGCTGGAACATTCTCTGAAATCGCACGTGACTACAGTAGGCCTAGGGCTTGGTGGAGCTCTGTCCCCAAGCCCAGTGGAGAAGGCTGTCCCCACTGGAGTGCTACTCTCGGACACCTAGCAATCTAGTGTCCAATCTCGACCCTCATGGCCATGACAGAAAGACATGGGGAAGGCTATGAGGCTGGGCAGGGTCCCTTCCCCACCTCGTGAAGGGCCTCTTGGATTCTTGGGTCGCCTGCCTTCCATGTACTGTCCCTCTCCCTCCCAGAGGAAGCTGATCCATGCTCGCTGCCATCTCCGGCTTCCTCGCTTCCCGTCTCCATCTGCCCACCATCCTTAGCTCCCTTGGGTTACATAACAATACTCTTTCCCATGCCAGCCTCTGTCACCTGGCCCTGCCCGCCCTCGGCGGTTCCTCCAGAGCTGGGTCCCCTCGTCCCCGCACCCACCGCACTCTGAGCCTCACTGCACACACACCGCCCATCCCCTGCCTGCACAGGGGGAACAATGGCACGGAGAATTATATTTGGCTTTGGGAACCAGATTTACCTTCCCAGATCTGGCTTTTTAAAGACGGTAGAGATGACGCCGCAATCCCCAAATGCACACCATCTGCGGATGGCCATGTGGTGACACAGAAACACACGTAACAGCGACGGAAACTGTTTGGGGATAACGCACTCGTGCTCACGAATCCTAAACTGATCCCTCAGAACCAATCCTGACTCAGAGTCATGGGGACCCTCTGGAATGCAGTCGGTTCGACTCTGTTTACAGAAATGAGGCAGAGGATGAGCCTTATAATGGGGTTTGAGCTTCATCTCTCCCTGTCAAACCTGCTGCCTTCTCCTGACTCCCGGCCCTTCCAGGATTTTCAGATCTCTGCCTTCTCTCACTCCTGAGCTGCCACTGGCCTGTCCCACCTGGATGCCTCTGGACCTGGGCAGGTCTAACCTGGATCTCTCTCCTTGCAAGGAGCTGCTCTTTGCCCTTTGCTCTTGGCATCCCTGACACCAGGCTGTCTCCTTGGCCACTTTCCTCATTTCTACACCCAGAAAGTTGCCAAATAATGAGACAGTGACTCTCACTGCCCTCATTAAGGCCCCAGTTCCCTCAGGCCTCCATCCCCGGGGCTTGCTTGTCTTCATCACCACCCCAACCCCATTTCTCCTGTTCCCCAGAAACCCATTTTGCCCCGAGTCATCTCCCTAGAGCAAGGTTCTGATGATGCTTTACCTCACAGCCTCCAAAATCAAGTCCAAAGTCTTGGGCCCAGCATCCCAGCATTTCCACGATCGGATCCTGGCTTACATTCCAGCCCCGTGTCCCATGCACCCATCTAAGCCTCCAGCAACAAGGCCACAGACTGGCTCACGCATGCATGTGTGGGGTCAGTCTCCAGGCACCCTTTCTTTTCTTGGCAAATTCTTCCCCTTCAGCCCTTTTAGAATCGCAGCTGGCCCTCACCCTTGCTGTGGTGCCCCCACCTCGCCCCACCATGAAATTCTCTCCTCCTTCCGGCTCGTGGCACTGTGTTTGCCCTCAAGCACCCATCACCCTCTGGCCTGGATTACAGATGCTTTCTGCGTGTCTTATTAATAATCACGGCTAACAATAATTGAGCAGTTACTAATCACCTCTCAAGGTACCCCTATAAGGAGAACAGCGGTGGAGGTAACCGAGGCCTGACTATGTGCTGGGCCTAGGACCATGTGCCTACATGGACCAACTCAGCCAAGCCCACCAACAACCTGAGGGGCAGACACCACTGCTGTCCCCATTTTGCAGATGAGGAAAACAAAGCGTGAGGAGTTGTACTAACTGATGTCATAAGTAGGCAGAGAGATGTAAAGCCAGGCAGTCTCACTGTGGAGTTCAAGGGTTCACATTTCCTGAGCCCTGACAAAGCTCTGGGAACTGTCTTAGGCACTGTTATGACAAACATTTCATTTATCCGCCCAAAAATTCTATGACATGGACATTTCTGCCCACAAGTTTCAGGCGAGGAGACTGAGACCCAGAAAGTTTCCTTCAAAGTGTTTAAATTCCATGTATCCAGGAATGGATGATTTTCCAATAGAACATTGATCAGCTCACTGCCTGGGAGTAGCCAGGTCCTGAAGCTCCCCCAGAGGAGAGAGCAGGGTGCGCAGGAGGCCACGAACATGGGCTAGGGAGGTCCTGCATTCCAGTGGCAATTCTGTGTCAACTTGTAAAAGCAAGCAACTGTCACCCTGTGGGCCTCACATTCCCCACCTGCAAAATCAGAGAATGGGACAAGAGAGCGGCCAGGGGCCCTTAGGCTGCAATCAACTCAATTCCACTGGATCCAGGACACCCGGGCTGTAGCTCGGGGCTCACTGAGGCCTTTTCATAACCGTCGCCCATGCAGAGCAGGAAGTAGAGCATCTGGGTCTGTTGCTGTGGGGACGGAGTTAGCTGGAGCCTCTTCTTAGCAAAGGCAGTTCTGGGAATTCCTGATGAGGCTGGTGGCCAGAACAGGGCAACCAACCTGCATCACTCAGAGCTCAAGGCTGTTGGAGGCCTGGTCCATCCACTGAACCCCTGGAGGGTAAAGGGGCCCTGGACCTCTGACCCTTAAATATGCCTGCTTTATTCCAGAATGGTACCAATAAAAGGAGCAATCACCCCCACTGCTACTTTATGTGTGTTTGGGGGGGGGGGTTCCACGGTTTGGAAGGGGAGAAGAAGTCCCATCGGATACCATGTCCACAGCCACCCCAGCCATACCCTCCACACAACCCTGCAGGCCTGACCCCACTCAAGTAGGGCTTCTCTGTGGCTCTCACTGCAGCCTGGGCCCCCTGACGGGCACCAACACCTCCTGGAGCCGACCTGGGTATGAATTCCTGCAACAGGCACAACAGAGCGGCCCCATTTCCAGCCAATGGCACTGCACATGCCTCAAATGCCAAGGTTTTACTAGGACGTGGACGCCTTACCAATGAAAAATCTGAAGCTATTTTTGTTTTTGGCAGAAGAGTTTGACAGTGGGAAAGATGGGGGCGGGGGCGGGTTCGGGAGGAGACATTTAAAACAGGTGAGCGCTGAAATGACAAAGGCAAAAAAAAAATCCTGGAAAAGGGTCCTCTCCCGCTGTAGAAAGTCAGCTCTGCGAAAGGGCTCCTGCTGGGGAGGGAGAGGGGCCCAAAGTGGGCAAAGCGGCCTGTCCTGGGGATTGACGCCTAACCTGAGTGCAGGCTCAAGGCAGCAAAAATGTCACATCGCCAAGGTTTGCCCTTCAGTGACCTCGGCAGGGTGCTGGGGGTGCAGACTCTGGAAACTTTTACTTTCTGCAATTTTATATCATATCGCTGGGCCCGGAATGGGGCCAGTCTGGGGGAGGGGAGGGGAGAGTCCTGACAACCCAGTGGGCTTTCTCCTGTGCCCAAGGGTTTGGGCAGGCAGGCATGAAACCGACAGGGTGCCAAGCTGGGGATCCTTGGGGTGCAGGCCTGGGACGCACACATCCTGTTTTCCCACAGTGCCACTCCTAGGCTGACCAGAGCACTTTGCCGAACTCTCCTTTTTTCCCAGCCTCCTCAACAGCAAAAGGGAACAAGCTACTAATCTCTCTTCCTCTGGGGGTCTCCTGTGTGCTTGCGTTTTGTTGCATTCAAGTAGTGACAAAGAAAAATAAACACATCAATTCCTGACCATGTGCCAACATGCCCACATGAGGGAAATGTACACATGCTCTGCGTTGAGCTCCTGCACGCCCAGGCCCCCTTTCTACAGACAACACCCTCAGGTGCCCTTGAGCGAACAGTAAACAAAGCGAATTGACCCAGCACCTACCTTCATGCAAAACACCGACGTGCACCCTACAGCAGCCCCCGTCGGACCTTACAAGCAGGCGGCTGCGTGCCCAGGACCCTGAGAAAGTTCAGACACCCTCTCTCAAGAAACACGACGGAGCCTTTGCTGTGAGGTTCCAGGTCCGGAACCTCAGCCTGTTGCTGGCCTGTCACGGCTGCCCCGGGATTAAAAACAGCAGGACACCCTGGACTCCATTCAAATGTCAACACGAAGCAAGTGCAGGAATTCGGCCGATTCCAGGTAACTTCTCTGCCCAGTCCCTTCCGCCCCATCCCCGGGGCCGACGCCGCGCAAAGCGCGTCTTCCAAAGCCCCTCCCGGGCGCGCGGGCCCCGCGTCGTCGCGC